AGATGAGTATTGAGTCCTGTCATTTTTTTTGTTTACATTCTTGCTATAGCTGTACTTTTACACTGTTATACCCTCGTTGGAATTCTTTCTGATTCTTGTGTGAGACTCAAGCCTTCCTTTGGTGAGATTAGATCTGCTTCTTTTTGTAAACTTTATGTGCCTTTGTGGTTTACTTGTTGGGCATGAAAAGCTGGTTGGTCTAGGCTTCAGGTTCTCTCTTTTGATTTTATATTGGAGTGGTCAAATTGCTTTCGTCTTCAGGAGTTCCCAACGAGGCCCATATCAGATGAGGATCAGATGCTCTCAGGCTTTCTCCTAAGGTCTGGATCCCTTCAGGAAAGATACTTCCCTCAGGAATTTGGGTGCTGGGCTGGCCTGGGAGCAGGGCCCAGGAGAGATGCTGGTCTCAGGAAGCTGGTGGCTGTGCCACCAAGGAATGCAAAGGGAGGTGGGAGCAGGAAGAGGCCCCGAGGGCTCCTGGGGAATACTGGGAAGAACTGGGTTGGTCTGGATGCAAAGGATCAGGAAGCAATGGGGATTTTGGGCCAAGAGGTCAGTCCAGGGGTCTGGGGTGCCAAAACAAGAAATGGGCCAGTACCCAGGCCAGGAGGAGAGATGGGGTGGGGGAGTTGGGAGGGTAATTGAGGCTGGAGGAGTCAAGGCATGGTGGGCCCAAGGGACCCACCCAGGAAAGATGCTAGCACCCAGAAGTTGGTGACTGAGCTGCCCAGGGAAGCAAAGGTAGGTGGGGGCAGGACCAGGCACAGAGGGCTCCTGGGGATTGCAGGGAGGGCTTGGATTTGTCTGGATCTGGAAGCAGTGGGGATTCTAGGCCAAGAAGTCAGTCCAGGGGTCTGGGGTGCCAAGATAAGAAATGGGCCAGTACCCAGGCCAGGAGGAGAGATGGGGTGGGGAAGCTGGGAGGGTGAATGAGGCTGGGGGAGTCAAGTCATGGTGCCTGCTGATGGATTTACCCAGGAAAGATGCTGGCACCAGGAAGCCTGTGGCTGTGCAGCCCAGGGAAGCCTGTGCAGCCCAGGGAAGCAAAGGGAGGTGCGGGTGGAACCAAGATTTACTTTTTTATATGTATGTTTGTCTACATGTACATATGTTCACCATGTATATGCCTGGTGCCCACAGAGGCCAAAAGAGGGTGTCAGATCCTCTGGAACTGGAGTTATAGACAGCTGTGAGCTACCATGTGGGTGCTGGGAACCAAACCTGAGTCCTCTGTAAGATCAGTAAGTGCTCTTAACTGCTGAACCATGCCTCCAGCCCCTTATTTTTTCATGATTATTCTTTACTTATTTACTTTTTTGTGTGTATGTAAGTGCATCTATGCATGCAATGCCCGAGGAGATCAGAAGGTGTCAGATCTCCTAGAACTGGAGTTACAGATCATTGTTAGCCACCATATGGATGCTGGAAACCAAACCCAGGTTTTCTGTAAGAGCAGCCAGTGCTCTTAACCACTGAGCAATCTCTTCAGTCTCTTATTACTTTATTTTTAATAATAATTATATTTTTGGAGTTGTGGAAAAGTTATTTATTCTGTTTTTTATTATTTTTAATTTGGGGCACAATATCTATATCTATCTATCATCTATCTATCTATCTATCTATCTATCTATCTATCTATCTATCTATCATCTATCTATCTATATATTTCCTTTTTGAGATAGGGATCCACCTGCCTCTGCTTCCCAAGTGCTTGGATTAAAGGTGTGTGCCACCATGCCCAGCAATATAAACTTTTAAGAATAGGAAAAGACCATGGATGAAATTATACTTTTGCTAAACAAGTAAAGTATTAACATGTTGAATGGGATTAGAATCTCAATTTTCAGATATAAAACTAAGGAATTAATATGACTTCAGTTATAGATTTGAAATAGATCTTAATATGTTTTTATGCACTTAATATGGATTTAGTATATAGTAGAGACTTTTTTTGACATGTTCTCATGTAGCTCTGCTTGGCCTCAAACTCCCTATGTAGCTGAGGATGACCTTCAACTCCTGATCTTCCTGCCTCTACCTCCCAAGTTCTGGGACTATAGGTATGCACTACCACATCCAGTTTTTCTTCAGTTTTAATTGTTATTTTTTAGTTTGTTAAATTTAAGGATTATTGAAGTAATACATTTTATTTAACATTAACATGTATAATCTAACATAATCTAATACATCCTTTAAATACGTCCTTTTCTCACTCCCCCTAAACTAGACAGAGACATGTCAAATTAAGGGTTAAACATGACTTATACCTGGGTGGTAGAACTTTGAGTCTGCAATTTCCACAAGTCTGCAGTGTCTTAATGTACACATAATCCTTTTTATTAAAAAAAAATCAGGCCTTAAAATGTAAAGACTTCAAATGTATTTGTAAAATCCCCATAAAAAAAATGTGTGGGCATGTGGTGTTGGCTTTTCTATGTGGAGCACAGTCAGAGAAAAGGGAGGTGGCTTCCAAAGCCACCTTCTGCTATAGGCTGTTCACAAAGGAATGGCAGTGACATGCTAACACCCGACAGAAGTTTGCTAAGGTATCTATAGTGAAGGATTTTACCACTCTTATATTTTGCATTCATAACTTCAGTTCTTAAATATGCAAAGTACTTCACTGCTTTTCCTTAACAAGCACTTCTATGGCATTTAAAAGGTGGTAGTTGTGCCAGGTGAGATGGCACATGCCTTTAATTGCAGCACTGGGGAGGCAGAGGCTGGCTGATCTCTGTGAGATCAAGGCCAGCCTGGTCTACATAGCAAATTCCAGGCCATCTGGGGCTACAGAGAGACCCTGTCTCAAAAACAAAACAACAAAACCCTCCAAAACCCAGATAAACTACTCCATTTTATGTGCAAATGACATGTTGGAATGTTATCTTAGGTATACTAGGTATACTAAAATCATTTTTCCCTTTTGTTTTTAATTTTAATTTTGTTTTTAATTTAAAAAATTTTATGTGTATGAATGCTTTACATGTATGTAGGTGTGCCATGTGCATGCAATGCCCATGGAGACCAGAAGAGGGTGACAGATCCCCTGGAATTTGCAGATGTTTTTTAGTTGCCAAGAGGGTGCTGAGAACTGAATATGGGTCCTCTGCAAGAGCAACAAGTACTCTTAACTGCTGAACCATCTCTCCAGCCCTGTTTTTATATTTATTAATGTGATCTTGGAAAATTTAAGGTTGCACCCCTGGGTCATTCATGGCAGTCATTAGAGAAGGGGCCCTGAGCCATGCTGCTAGGGGCCATTTCCTGGTTTACACAGTGCCGCGTCTGCGGTTTTGAAGTTTCCTTTTATGATCTGGTTTCCTGATCCCATTTTTTTCTCCTTGCTGGGTGATCACTCTGCCACCTTTCTGAGTCACTCCAATGGCGGGTTTTTAGGCCCTGGCCATCAAGGGCCTGCCCCTGGATCCTTCAGGAGGGGCTGGCAATTCCAGATTTCTGTCGCCAGAGAGAGCTGCGTCTCTGCCCTTGTTGCTGAGCAACCTCTGCTCCGGAAGTAGTTCTTTGTCCCGCCTCAGGCGGCCACGCGCGTGAAGATTTCCGGCAGTGTAGGCGCGGGGTCGCGCAGAGCGGGCTGTGGGTTGTTGGCGGCAAGATGACCACGCTACGGGCCTTCACCTGCGACGACCTGTTCCGCTTCAACAACATGTGAGTGCAGCGCGGCCCGCGCGGACGTCCTGGCCGGGCCGCCCCGGGGTCCGCGCCCCCGGGTCCTCATCATCCGGTTCCCGCCGCGCCTCCCGCGCAACCGGTACCCGGCCCCGTGAGCCTGTCCAGCCGAACGCCCCGGGGCAGTCGGGACCCAGGCCGGCTGGGCGCTGTGCTGACACGCTGGCCCTGTGACCTTGGCCGGGGCCCTTAAACCTGCACCCCTTGGCCGTGGGTCCGCGCGGCGTGGCTCTCGGGATGCGCTGCGGCAGTAGGGCGAGGTGGAAGCTGGGCTGGACACCTGGCCGGCAGCTCACCGCTCAATGGCTCTCCTGTGTAGTGGGCACAACCGCAGTACCCGCTGCAGGAGGCTTTCGAGGGTCCCTCTCAGGCCATAGTCAAGGGTGTGCTTGGAACATGTGCGGCACTGGTATCCCAAGGAAGTAACGTTGAGATCCTTGGGCCCTCGCCGCAGCTGCTGTCAGTCTGGTGTGTGTAGTTACTGTAGCTGAGGCGCCCAGGAATAGACTACTTTTTTGTGGGGAGGCAGGGTAGTAGCAGCACAAGCTGGGGCCAGGTGATGGGTGGTTCCTTTCAATTAGAGTTAAGGGACCAGTGATATGTAATCATTCTCCCCTCCCCCGCTTTTGTTTTAAAGAAAACATTAATTTCAAATTTTTACGACCACTTAAAAAAGCTGAAAAAAATTTGTACCGTGAACCTCTTGTAGACAGTGACTTGGATTCTGCTTACATTGGTTCCATCACACTCTCCTTTAAGTCTGTCAATCCTAGGTACACTTTTAAAAACGACGGTATAACCCAAGGACCAGGTGGTTCAGATATATAGGTGTCTGAAAGGAAATAACTTTGGGATGAGGTTACTAGAAACATTTCAAAGAGGGGTTAGAACCTCGAAGGATAAATATGGTGAGGAGGAGGAAGTTGTGGATATGTGCAGGTGAGAAAAGGGTTGTGTGGCAGGGATGGGTGTGAACACGGCAAATGGTTTCTGTAAGTGAAATAAGGACAAACAGGTAAAGCTGGTTTTAGCTCTCTTGATGGGTCTAGATCTGCTTCTGTGGGTTTTCTGTTGGACCTAGCTTGTGCTGAATCCTTATCACCTCCAACACCATTTTGGGTACTCATGGAAAATTCACAATTCTGTGATATGTCTGCTCATGTCCTCAGTTTGTGTGAAGTGAGGTTTTGTACACTCAAGTGAAACTCCCTGAGGTGATAAAGCCTTGATTAGGAAGTGCTTAGAGTTAGGAATCTTATCCAAGGAGACTCCCATGGTGGTAGGTAAAAAGTTGCTTCCAACACTCAAGATGCTGAGGTAAAGAGGATCACAAGCTTGAGGACACCCTGGGTTACACAGAGATAAAGTCTCAGAGAAGCAAAGACAAAAGTTGGTTCCTGGCCGCAAGGAATATTTTAGAAATGCAAATTCTTGGTTGTTGAGAACCATTATTCTGGAAGCAGTCTGAGTCCTTTGGGATCCTCAGGAGATTGCTTCTAGGAACCACCATAGATACCAAAATCCCTTATTCACAGTGGTGTGGTATTTGCATATAACCTAGGCAACCCCTCCCCCATGTACTGTAATTATCAATAGATTACTTATACCTAGTACAATGTAAATGCTTTATAAATACTTCTAATACCGTTCAGAGAATGACAAGGTAAAAGTCTGTAAAGATACAGACATGTGATCTTTAAGAATACCTTCACTCTGAAGTTGAATGAGCTCTGGGTACAAGGTGATTAGGGTAGCAGGCAGGTAAGCCACTGAAGTGGCCATGGCAAGACCTAGAATGACTTGGCAAAGGCTTAGGTCTGGGAGGTACATGTAGATGACATGATGCCTTGATGCTTTAGGAGTAGACAGGCAAAGCTTCTTGTAGAGTTAGGAAGAGACAACATGGAAATGCATAAAGTAGAAGGGAAATGCACATGAACTTATTACCAATGAGCTCTCAGATTGCCTGGCTTACTAACGTTTCTTCAGAATGTGCATTAAGGGAGCCCCACCTGGGAGCCCCACCTTCCCACTCCTTTTAGTAGGCCCTGTTAGGGAACAGAGTCACTCTGTTAGGTATTGTAGGAAGGCCTGAAGCTGTAGATCACTACAGTATATTGCCAGTGCTAGAAACACAGCAGTGAGCAGAACAGAAATAAATTGGTGCCTTTGTGGAATAAGTAGATAGAACATATAGCACTAAACGTTTGATGAAAGGAAATACTAGAACCAGGGAGCAGAAACAAAGTTGAAAAAGGTCTCAGCTTTGGATATGGGCGTCAGGGGAGATGTTACTGAAGAGAGATCTAGGAGTTGGATCATGGATATCTGGGGTAAGGGCTCTCCCAGAGAAATCTCTACAATATCCCAGAGAGTGTCCAGGGCTAGAGTAAATGAGACTGAGTGGCCCAGTGAGGTGGGAGGAAAAGCTGATGGTGAGGTTCCAGAAGCTAAGTAGTGAGGACTTCAAGCAGGAGTGGGGAGCTGTCAGGAGGCAGGGATGGTTAGTGTGTGTGTGTGCCACATTTATACATTCCTGTCAGGAAAGATACAGAAATGGAAGGTACAGTACAGGAGAGAAAGAACTCTTAAGGGCAGATTCCTCAGGATTGAGATGGGTGGGATTTCCTGGCCAGCAAGGGCACTGTATGCATAGCTGCAGATAAGCGGGCAGCATCAGGATGCAGATGCTTTTAGGTGAGTGAGGTCAGTTGAAGGACTTTGGCAAAGTTTTCTTACTACTGACTGGCTTTGTGATGAGATAGAGGAGGGGCAGCCTGTTGGAGGAGTTGAGGTTAAACAAAGATGTGAAGTAGTTGAACGGTGGAGAAAAATAAGTCCCCAGAGCGTCTCAGTAGCAGGGACTCTACAGTAAGGGCCCCAGGAGTGTTTCATGACTTCTTGCAAGTCTCATCTAAGGCCTTATGGTGTTTAACAAATGTACAGCTTCAAGCATAACAAACACTTGAGAATTGAGCTATCTTTTAAATCTAATACCAAAAAACTGTTAAAATACCATTATCACTTTTTTAAAAACACTATTTTATTTCTTGGTAAAATTATTCATGTCAACATATAATTGATTTATTTTAAAATGAGTAACTTAAATTTTAAGATCTTAAATGATTCATATAAGTAATTTTTTTTTTTTAAGTGTAAAGTGGGTTTTGAAACAAATGATTGAGAACTGTTGGACTGTTGGCACCCTTAAGAGCCCTGAAGACGACAAGAAGGAAACAGTTGAGAGTAGCTGGTTCTGAGCCTGGTAGAATAGTGACTAGAAAAGTGAAAGGTCAGAGGTGGTTGGACGAAGGAGCTGAGTTTTAAGAATGCTGATTTTCTGGGGTGGTGTGATGGGGCATGTTAGGAAAGTGCCTACAGCACCAGGGCCAGGTTGACAGGAGGTGGCAGGTGGGGTGTATGCTGAAAGTATAGGAATGGGGTCCATGGGGATTTAGGAAAAGATGTAGAGGAGAGAAAAAAGTGGCGTGGGGGCAATGTAGGGAGACTTACGTGTAAGGGAAGGCCAGAGACAGGCAGGGATGATCCTTGTGAGAATGGGGTACAGGGCAGCTCGGCTGGCTGTACACATGAAGCATGCCTACCTTGTCCTCATTTCCACTCATTTAATTCCATGTAGAAAACGGAGTTAGCTGTGACACTGTTTGTAAAGAAGCAGTTGGATGAAAATGTGCAGACACCTTCACATTGCTGTGCCGTGCTGTGCATGACCACTGGGTAGTTTAAACTGGCTTTTTTTTCAGATGAAGAAACACATTAGGTTTTGATTGGCATACTCTCTTTACTTTTCACAAACTTATTTAAATTGGGTTTGGAAACTGCTTACTCTCACCCATTTCTCTTGCTTTTTTCAGTAACTTGGATCCACTTACAGAAACTGTATCCTTTTTTGAAAGGAAAAAGTTAAATGAAGAATTATTGTGAAGAACAAAGAAAATGGAGAAACAGAAGGAAAAAGTAGATGAGTTCTGAAAACCAATGTAGGTTTTGACAATATTGAGTGATATTAAATGCAATTAACAGTAAGAATGCTCTTCAGCTTGCCCCACAAATTAACGTAACGACTTCGCACAAATCAGTAACACTGCAGCTCCCTGCCCACCTTGAAGCCTTCTCTTTTAATGGCATCTTTGGGAAGCACTATGTAGCCCTTCTGTGTGTCACTGTCCAGTTCCTGCCTCCTGCATCATGAATTGAGTCTTACAGGAGTCCAGAAAGGGACTTGTTGCTAAAGTGAATAAAGGATTTTCAGTAATAGTGATTTCTATCATGATCTCAATAGAAAAATGAGCAAAAATGCTGAACATTAGGATATTCTTGGTTATGCTGCAATAACAGATCAGTGGCTTAAAACACAAAATTCAATGTCTAGAACATGCTCCATTGTTTACTGCTGGTAGGTAAGTATTAACTAGTAGCTTACTAAAGGACAAAAAGGAGGCTAAAAAAGAGTTAAGTATTACCAGTCAAAAGACATTCAAACAAACCAAAATGAGAATCCATGGTTAATGTATCAGATCATCCAGAATCTTTGTGAAAGGCATTTTGGAAGTATGCTGCGTAATTTCATTTGCTGTAGACTGAAAATAAGAAATAGAGGCAGTTTATGCCAGGGTTTGGCAAACTAAAATCCATGGATCAAATCTGACTCACTACTTGTTCCTCAAAGATTTTTTTTACTAGGCTGGGCGTGGTGGTGCACGCCTTTAGTCCCAGCACTTGGGAGGCAGGGGCAAGTGGATCTCTGAGTTTGAGAGGCCAGCCTGGTCTACATAATGAGTTCCAGGCCAGCTGGAGCTACAAGGAGAACCTTTCTCAAAAGACCAAAAAAAAAAGAAAAAAAGAATTTGTTACTGAGCTACGCCTGTGCTGATTAATTTACATATTGTCTGTGGTTTTCAGTTTGTGTGGGTGCAACAGAAACTGTTAGTCCCCAATGCCTCAGATGGTTCATATCTCACCCTTTCACAGAAAATTTGCTAGCCCGAGTTATGTTGTAAAATATTTTAAGAGATTATATTAAAAATTTGGAATGCTGGACCAGGCATGGTGGTGCACGCCTTTAATCCCAGCACTTGGGAGGCAGAGGTAGGAGGATCTCTGAGTTCAAGGCCAGCCTGGTCTACATAGTGAGTTCAAGGACAGCTGGGGCTACAGGGAGACCCTGTCCCAAAAAAACCAAAAAAAAAAAAAAAAAAAAAAAAAAAAAAAAAAAATGGAATGCCTTCCACATTCACTAATGAGGAAATGGTAAATAAATTAAGCTGTAGTCATAAAGGATTTAAAGTATTTTAAAAATTGGAAATGGTCCAGATGCCAACTGGCAGAGGGATGGTATTGATTGTATCCTCATGCAGGAAATGCTGAACAGCAGCAAAAATGCACTGTGGCAGGTATAAGCAGCAAGAGGACTCCATATCAGAAACAAAGCTGAGTGGAGAAGACAGAGGCCTCTGTTCATTTGTGTATGTGTATTTGGGTTTTGGAAGGATTTTTTTTTTCCCCTTTGGTCTTTTTTGAGACAGGGTCTCCCTGTATCCCCTGCTGGAACTCACTATGTAGACCAGTCTGGCCTTGAACTCACAGAGATCTGCCTGCCTCTGCCTCCCAAGTGCTGGGAGTAAAGCATGCGCCACCACACCCAACCTGGAAGGATTTTGTATTATGAAAATTTTCTCTACACGAAGCAAAAATATTAGAATGCAAATAATCTTACATTTTCATCGTATAAGCCCTAGTGGTTATTTCGGGAGTGGCATGTTGAAGTCAAGTCTCTGAGCTTCTGCACTGCACAGAGGAGAGATGGTGTGTAGTGCCAGTGACTGGACCACTGGGAGACCAGCTGTCCTGCCATTTTAAGGTTATGTTTGAGGAGTTCTCAAAGAAAGGAATGCCCTTCAGAGGAGGTTTCCCAGGAGCTTTATCTTTTTCAAAAGTGTAGTATTACAAGCTGGGCATGGTGGCACACACCTGTAGTCCCAGCATTTGGGAGGCAGAGGCAGGCAGATCTTGGTGAGTTCAAGGCCAACCTAGTCTACATATTCCAGGCTAGCTGGGACTACAGGAGGGTCCTATCTCAAAAAGAGAGAAAAAAAAAAGTGTAGTATTAATGGTGTCTGCTTATAAAATGTTAGCAGAAAGCTAAGGGGAATGAGTAAGTAGCACTAAGGATACCCCAGGGTTGAAGAGTAATTATTCAAGCATTTTTTTTTTTTTTTCCTTTTCAAGAGACACAGCCTTACCACGTGTCCCAGTCTGACTCTGACTAGAGATCCTGTACTTCAGGCTTGCGTCCTGGGATTAGAAGCACCTGCCAGGCCACCTCAGGCACATATTCTGAACATATCTGATTCCTTAACAATTTTAACAGTTGCATAGCTTCAGCCAAAGTAGGAGCTAGCCATCATTTCCCAAGTGCAAAAGAAGTACTGAGCAACTGCTGTGTGCCAGGCAGCTGATAGGTAAATCAGAGAGAAAGAGAAACACCTAGCATTCCCATTCCAAGGGGAGGTAGGCAGTGTAACAAGCAGCAATCTCAGCTGGTGATAAATGCTGCCCACAGCCTTAGCTAGGGAGGCAGACAGTGTAAGAGGTTCTCTGCTGTCTATAACATGCTGCCATATCCATTCTACATCTGAGCTGATGTCCATGCAATTTTGTTAAGTCAGTGCTAATGTAAATATTCTAATGGTATGATTAAAAGTAATTACACATATTGAGCTGAGGATAAAACAACAGTGTGCTTTTTTAGTGTGTGTGGTATGCATGTGGAAGCTAGAGGCTGATGTCAGGTGTCTTCTTCAATCACTCCCCACTTTATTTACTCAAGAGTCTGAATAAACCTAGAGCTCGATGACTCGGCTAGTTTAGCCAGCCAGCTTGTCCAAGATAACCCAGTTTTCCCCTCCTGAGTGCTGGGATTGTAAGTGGGCCTCCATGCCTTCCCTAACTTTTACGTGGGTATTAGGATTTAAACTCTGGTCCTTAGTCTTCACACAGCCCTTTATCCACTGAGCCATCTCTCCAGCCCAATAAAACTTAACTTTTAAAAGAAGTATTTTCACCCAAATAATGAACTTTTTGCTATTACTTTTCACATTCCTTAACAGAACTCTAGTATGGGATTCCATTTTACTTACAGTACCTTGCCCACTGGCCAGAGTATTTCATCGTTGCGGAGGCACCTGGTGGAGAACTAATGGGTTATAGTAAGTATAGTGCCATTAGTACTTTTTTGGGTGGGTAAAGATTTTATTATTTTTGAGATAGGGTCTCCCAGTAGCCCCAGCTGACCTGGAACTCACTATGTAGACCAGGCTGGCCTTGAACTCTATGGGTGGGTAAAGATTTTAATCCAGGTTTCAGCTTAACCTGCATAATCAAACTGGAAGTAAAATAGTGAAGGCTGTAATTCTAGTTCCTGTTCAACAACACCTTACTAATCTCCTGTTTCGGGCACTGTGCTAGGCCCAGGGTATATAGCAGTGAACCAGACAGACATGATCTCAGTTTTTTGGATCTTTATTTTTTTTTTGTGGTCTTTTTTGAGACAGGGTCTCCCTTTAGCCCCAGCTAGCCTGGAATTCACTATGTAGACCAGGCTCAATCTCACAGAGACCTCACAGAGGTCTGCCTCTGCTTGAGTGCTAGGTTTAAAGCTGTGCGTCACCATGCCAGGCAGTCTTTTTGGATCTTTCATTCTATGTTAGATTTCTATATTGTTTACTTAATATATAATGCAGGGATTAAAGCATATATGTTTGACTAGTTGTACTGCTACCAAAAACTTGAGTTATGAATTGTCTTAGTTATATGCACATATACTAAGTCATAGGACATGTTGCAGGAAACGTGATAAAGGAAATGTAGCTATTTGAAAAAAAAAGAAAAATATATATGTATCCTGGTTCTTTGTTCTTGGTTTTTAGTATATTATTTTTAAACTTTCCTAAGTCTGACTTTAGAAGCAGGTGAATTTTCAAATCAAAGTGCTGATCATTAGCTTAATGATCTTAAGTAGTACTTAAAAATTAAAACTGTCATTCATTTCTTTTATAATAAAAATGCACAAGTGGTAATTCTGTATTTATTTGCAAAATCAGTGTCTTAATTACTGAGTGAAGTTTTCTGTTGGCAGTTATGGGCAAAGCAGAAGGCTCGGTAGCTAGGGAAGAATGGCATGGGCACGTCACAGCTCTGTCTGTTGCCCCTGAATTTCGACGTCTTGGTTTGGCTGCTAAACTTATGGAGTTACTAGAGGAGATTTCAGAAAGGTGAGATCTTATTTTTCAAATATACTTTGTGGTTTATGAATTCTACCATTTCATCTTTCTCTGTTGAACAGATGATTTTTTTCCCCCCTTATAAGTGTCAGGAACCGTTGTAGCTTTAGACTTTTTAGGAATTTCATTTTTGGGCTACAGTAGTTCTACAGTTCATCACATATTTAGAATGGCATCATTGTTCTTTGTTTGCAATTGCAAATTGTCACAAGCCATAGGCCTGTGAGCTGGAGAACTGGTAGAATCAAAGACCAGCCTGCAAAGAAGGTCTTTGATGTTCTCTCCACTATAGATTCTGTTAGTATTGTTCTGGGCATGTTGTTCAGTTCTTCACAGTGTTCCTAGGCCAAAAGAAAATAGTTCAGTCTTAAATTTAGTATTTCTATTCTAATAGCTAGTAGCCACCTATAAAAAATAGAAATGATTTTTAATTCTGGCCATCTACGAACGAGGGAGAAATGCACCTGCTGAGCACTGAATGACTTCTAAAACCCCTAAGACAGATGCAGCATAACCCATTTCCACTGATTTTCTTATGGTTGCAGTTTGTTAAATCAGCAACTGTCAGAAACCCATCTTCATCAAAATACTGTGTCACTGAAAGGAAGGTGGCAGTAATGGCATGTAGAGTTTTGTTATTTTCCATGAACATCTAAAATATCCCATAGCCCTCTCTGAGTTTGAGGCACTCAGTGCAGTTGGGTAACTGCCAGCAAGTTGCTACATCACACACTCAGGGGAGATAAAAGTGATACAGTAACTTAAAAGAAGGCACATCCTATTTCCTAGAAGGACAAAAGATGTGTTTGACATTTATTAAGTTCTTTCTCTGCCTAAAAGAGCAGTATTTGGGAAGGGGGTTGTTAAGGGATCTGGAGACTTAATTTCTACATAACTATTGGATTTTAATAAAGACAATTTTTATTTATTTTTAAATATTTTTAAATATTACTTTTATTTTGTGTATGAGTGTACTGCTTGCATGTATGTGAGTGCACCCATGTAGCCACCTTGTGGGTGATGGGAATTGAACCCAGGTCCTCTGCAAGAGCAGTCACTACTCTTGACCACTGAGCCATCTCTCCAGCCCCTAAAGGCAATTTTTAAAGAAGTAGCTGGTCACAAATGCTCTGAACTAAGCAACACATGAAAGGAAATAGTGCAGTCTTAGTTCTCCCTGGACAGAATGTAAGAAGGACATCCTCATTGAACAGGTATCTGGCATTCTTGTGTAATGGCAGGCCAAGAGGAAGAGGGGCCCCCCAGAGCCACAGCCTTGAACATATGTATTTGAAGATCTAGTCCATCTCCATGAGCAGAAAACTACTAACCTCCCTTCTCTTCCTGATTTTGAGATTTCACTATCTTAGGATAGCTTCAGAGATGTTTAGTTATTTTGTATGAATACATGTGTACACATATATTACATGCACACATTTTACAAATACACATTAAAAATAGGAATCGGTCAGCCATGGTGACTCATGCCTTTAATCCTAGCAATTGGGAGACAAAGGCAGGTGGATCTCTGTGAGTTCCAGGCCAACTGGAGCTACAGGGAGACCCTGTCTCAAAAAGACAAAAAAAAGGAATAGAATATAATTTACACAGGAGTAAAAAAATAAAAATCCAAGAGAAATACATAACTAATAGCAAAGTTAAGTATAAAACTGATAGCAGCTATGAATACAAATATTATCAGTAATTAATAATTATAACAATGAATATTAATGGACTAATGACTCCAGATAAAAAGGCAGATGGGCTAGGGAATGAAGCTCAGCAGTCAAGTGCAAGGCCCCAGGTCCATCCCCAAGAGTGCCAAAAAGAAAGAATTATCGTGAAAATTGTAGCCAAAAGGAAGTTGATAGACTCATATTGATAATATTTACAGTATACCTGTATATTTACAATATAATTGAATAACTTATTACCAGTGTAAATGGTCACTTTATAGATAAAAAGAACCCATGTAAAAAGCCACACACACTAACAGCCATCTCTAGTCTCAGTATGCTTATGGGAGATGGAACAGAGTCAGGAGGGTCCCCAGAAGATCGTGAGCCAAAGAGACTGGCCTGCTTAGTGGAGAACAAAAGACCAGCTTCAAGCAAGGTGGGAAGGCAAGGACCTCCACCCAAGGCTGTCCCCTAACCACCACAAGTATAAAGCTTTGCACATAAGATGTTGCATAGTCTTTTTTGGTTGGTTGCTTTCCTTTGATACAGGGTTGCAGTATACAGCACTGGCTGCCCTGGAACTGAGAGATTCGTCTGCTTAGACAAAAAGTCTCTTAAAGTGAGGTCACTTTTACATAAGTAAAACCAGTCTTAAGGCTAGGCTAACCTTGACAGTGTCTAAGAAAGGAAGATCTGAGGAAATGTCACTAAAAATGTACAGAAAAACTGGCAAACAGTTTCATAAGAAGGATGATGATATGTCCATAGCCAGGCTGTTAACTCAGACTAAAGAACAACTGTTACTTTAGTAACACAGTATATTTGATGTCCAGTATTCACTTACTGATACAAACTGCTAGCAAACTAGGGAATAGAAAGAAGTGAGGGAGAGATAGCATCCTTAACCTGAAAAGAGTATGTGCAAAAACTGTTAAGAGAATCTTTGTAATGGTGATGTGTTACATGCTTTCCTGTGAAACCAGAGACAAAGATGTGCAGAGCCATCCCCTTAATACCTTATTGGAAATCTACACAGCAAAGTAAAAAAAAAAAAGAAAGAAAGAAAAAACAAGACTGCTGCCTGTGACAGATATAATTATATACACCAAGCTGGGCGTGGTGGTACACACCTTTAGTTTCAGCACTCAGGAGGCAGAGGCAGGGGGATCTCTGAGTTTGAGGCCAACCTGATCTACACAGTTCCAGGCCAGCTGGGGATACAGGGAGACCCTGTCTCAAAAAGACCAATATATATATATATATATATATGGATATACATGTGTTTAGAATTAATTAAAAACAAACAAAAAAACCCTGTTGTACTTTAATTATACAAAGAGTAATACCTAGAGATTAGTATTGATATTGGCGTCAGAAAACATTATGGAGCTGGGCACGGTGGTGCACACCTGTAGTCCCAGCACTTTGGGATGCAGAGGCAGGTGTATCTCTTAGTTTGAGGCCAGCCTGGTCGACATAGATTCCAGGCCAGCTGGGGATACAGGGGGAGACCCTGTCTCAAAAGAACAATAAAAAAACCAACAAAGGACATGCACTTAAGCCAAAGCAAATCTGTGTAAGATTATACCAGCATTTATTAAACTTTATTGGGAGACATTCAAGTGGCCAACCTAAGTGGAAAGAGAAGCTACCTGTGTGAACCAGACTGTGTTTTGAGTTTTATAACTGTCCACAGATCCAATGCAATCATAGTCAGAATCCCAAGCATTTTATGGTGGGGATTATTAGGGCTAATTGTGAAACATAGGGAAAAAGAACAAGATCTGCCCTTCCAGGTACTAACATGTAGTTAAAACTGTTAGGGCTGGAACAGTTTTGTGGACTAGAACAGGGTCTGAGAAGTCCAAGAGTATACAGCTCTTGACATACCTGAGTGACACTGCAGATCAGATATAAAGGCAGACTTCAGTAGAGATGGTGGGATAACTAGACAGGGAAAACTTTTCCTAGGTCGCTACTTTACCACACATAAATCAATTCCAGATTTATTAAAAACACAGGTATGGGGGGCTGGAGAGATGGCTCAGTGTTTAAGAACACTGGCTGTTCTTGCAGAAGGCCTGGATTTGAATCCCGGCACCTAAATGGCAGCTAACAACTGTCCATAACTCCAATTCCAAGGGATCCGACAGCCTCTTCTGTCCTCCGTGGGCACTGCACGACATGGGTGCACTTACATACATACAGGCAATACACTCATACACATAAATAACAACAAAAAACCCCACAGGTATGGAAAGCAAATCTAAGATGCCCTTTGAACCTAATATGGAAGAGTGTCTCCATGACCTCAGCATAGATAATGTCCTAAGTAGGCTATAAATCGTTCTACCTGCAAAGCAAAGGCTCACATACTCTACTCTACTCAAGCTAAATAGCTTTGGTCACCAAAAGATTTCCTAAAGATAACATGATAAGCCATAAAACTGGGCAAGATATTGCCAAAAAAAAAAAAACCACACACACTACGGAGGATCTAATACACAGGGAATAGCAACTGGGAAAAATTGAAAGGTTACTAAGTACTATACAGAGGAGAACTCTAAATGGTCAATGGATCTAGTCATCATACTCATTAGTGATCAAAAGTACAAATTAAACTGAGCTACCTTGTTCAGTATACTAGGTCTTTCTGCTTTAGGAGTGTACACTCCAATAAGCACACTGGAAAACAGGTTGGAATTATCTGAAGATGTGTACAGTCCTGTGACACAGTGTATCCCTAAATAGATACTGTACCATAGAAGTTCAACACAAGTATTCCTAGCTGAACAGTTTATAATAGGCTTGGCAATTTTTGTTTTGTTTGGTTTGGTTTTTGAGACAAGGTAGCCCTGTAGCTCACTTGGAATTTGCTATGTAGACCAGGCTGGTCTGATCTCAGACCTGCCTGCTTCTATCTCTGCCTCCTGAGTGCTGAGTGTTAGAATTAAAGGTGTGCACCACCATGCTTGGCTCTATACTGGCAATGTTTTTCAAAAGGATTGTACATTCCTTTTCAAAAGGCAGGTTGTACAGTCAAACAATGAAAGGCTAAACAGAGTAAAGGTGAATACCTCCAGCTACTCAGGAGGCTCAGTATTGACGGAGGTGCAAACACAGAAATGCCCCAAAACTGATTACATTCATATAAATGTAGTAGGTAGTAAGTTCACAGCAGAGAATAGGGAAAAATAATAGTTAGGATGTGGAGACCTTTGAATAAAGAGATATTACTAACTCAAAAACGGGGGGCTTCTGGGCTGGAGAGATGGCTCAGCGATTAAGAACACTGACTGTTCTTGAAGAAGACCCAGGTTTGAATCCCAGCACCCACATGGCAGCTAACAACTGTCCAGAACTCCAGTTCCAGGGGATCCGACAGCCTCTTCTGTCTTCTGCAGGCATTGCATGACATGGGTGCACTTAACTGACATGCAGGCAACACATACATACACATGAAATAATAAATAGGGGGCTGGAGAGATGGCTTAGTGATTAAGAACACTGGTTGTTCTTGCAGAAGACCTGGGTTCAAATCCCAGCACCCATATGGCAGCTAACAACTATGTAACTCCAGTTCCAGGGGATCTGACAGCTTCTATCTTCCGCGGGCATTGCACAATATGGGTGCACTTACCTGCACGCAGGCAATACACGTATACACATAAAAATTAAAACAAAAAAATGGGGGGCTTTGAGACAGTGACCGGCATCCAATAGCAGCTACACCTGGGTCATGGATTTGTACTATGAAATAATCTCCAAATAATAAAAGTTGCTATTGCCATTCCTAGTCAGAAACCACATATGAGCACTAAGTGGACTCAGTTGTGCACTGTATGTGTGTGTGTGAGACATGTGCGTGCATGTAACAATAATCAAAGAGGACACGAAACTGAAAAGGATGGGTGGGCACATGGGAGGAGTTGGAATGGAATTGATGTAGATACAGCATTCATGTATGAAACTTTCAAAATTAAAAAAAAAAAACTGTTCTTTTTTTAACCCACTTTATAGCCTAGGCTGACCTAGAACGTACTATGTGGTCCAGGCAAGCCTTGAGCCCACAGTTGCCTCAGCCTCCCAAGTACTGGGAAAACAGTCATGAGGTTTCAAGCCTGGCACATGTCTTTGGTGGTGGGACAACAGGATACTGAAGTAGAGTTTCTCATAGTTTTAATGGTTTTCTTTCTTTTATAAAGAAAAGGTGGATTTTTTGTTGATCTCTTTGTAAGAGTATCCAATCAAGTTGCAGTGAACATGTACAAGCAGTTGGGCTACAGTGTCTACAGGACAGTCATAGAGTACTATTCAGCCAGCAACGGGGAGCCTGATGAGGATGCTTATGGTAAGCTTCTTCCCTCTATAAAGTAACTCCAAGACAACAGCAAAATAGTTCATTTTCCCCCACAGGCTGAAACACTCAATTATTTTAAAGAAGCCAAAAGAATCACACTTGTGAAATCAAATGACATAATAACTAACCACTAGTTAATTTCTATAAATTTTCATTTCACTGTTACAGGCTTGCCCTTTTACTATGAAAAAACATGATTAGTTGACTCCTACAGGGTTGACTCCTAATCTGGTTAGCACCTGACATGGTTGCAGCTGGGAATTTCCTAAGTACCTAGCTCTTAGAAATCAGTATGATTGAAGGGGAGGGGCCAAAACCTGATAGGAACTTTACCTGTCCTGTACATTTTAAATTTGATTTGAACGTTTTTGACTGTTTAAACATTATAGCTGTTTACATTAATCTTTGCTTCTTAACAGATATGAGGAAAGCACTTTCCAGGGACACTGAGAAGAAATCCATCATACCATTACCTCATCCTGTGAGGCCTGAAGACATTGAATAACCATAGGCAGTGGTTCTCAGGCAGATGTTCCAGACACTTTGTGGACAATATTATTTTCATTAGATGATCTTGGAGCTCTGTTAGGAGGAAAATATAATCACTTAGGTCTTAAGAAGACTTCAAGAAAATACAGGCTTGTAAACATACTTCAAATATCATTGTTTCCAGTTAGCAATAGCGTACCTGTTCACACTGCTGTAGTTAAAATTCAATCAAGGCAGCTAGGTCAGGAAACGTTCCAGTGTCATGGTTGACAGTATCCAGTACATGCCAAGGAAAGACTTGCTCCATCATCCTCCGAAATCCTGTGCCTGAGAACCACTGCTGCACATATATATATATTTTTTATTTTGTATTGAACTGTTAATTGAAGCTTTAAAAGCATATATGAAATGTATAAATCTGAGATGTATAGTAAAATACATTGTTGATTATGAATGTTTTCTGGATGTTTGTTGATCATTTGTACAACTTAATCAGGATTATGAAAGGCCATTGTGTAGGATATGATGCCTCTGTTTTGATTTTTATATAAAACACTTTAAAATGTATACCTGAAATTATCCCTGTCTGCCATACTTAAGCTTCCTTCTTACTGTGTGTAAATCCTTCCAAGTTACATAATGCCACATTGCTGGTCCTGAATCTGTTCTTCTCTAACAATAATCATGCCCTTAAATATTAATATTAAATATTAAGACTTTTTTAAAAAGATAAAGAACCTAACTCACAGGACAACCATGTATTTTAATCACTTTAGTATCAAAAATATTCAGGCAGTAAAGGAATTAACAAAAGCCATGCCCAAATGAAATAACTAAAGGTATGCATGTGTGTATATTCTTACTTTCTTTGAGAAAGTAAGTCAAGCTAGCCTTGGGCTCCTAGTCTCAAGTAACTTTCCTACCTTAGCCTTCAAGTTGGTATCTGAGACTATAGGCATGTACCACACCACCTGGTTCAAAAGGTTTTACTTACTTTACAAAGGTCTTATTTGGGATTGTTAAGTTTAGAAAGGGAATAAATCCTTTTCTGTTCTTTCATAAGAGAATGATGTTTTCCTTCAAGCTTGTTAGGAGTTGCCTTTAAGAACATTTTTTTCTTGGGTATACAACCAGAATAGAGATAAGATTGTTCTAGAAACACTGCTTGGTCATAGTATTAGCACTGTGATTTGCTTTCATCTCCCACCTTGAATCTGTACTTACTCAAAGGATATTAAATGACAGATTTTCCTCCTCACTGACTAGAAGACCTCAGTACTCAGTGCAGTCTATTGTACTATTCCTGTTTTCTTCCACCTGCCAACACTTTATTTTCAAGACAGAATTTATGGCAATCTTGAGCAGCACTTACTCCCTTAGATGGATTTATTTATATTTAATATAATATCTAATTGTTCTTAAAAGTGAAAAATGGTCTTGAAAATAACAGTTCTATGCATTGGGTGGTGAACAGAAAGAAAAATAAGGTTGAGAAGGACAAGACAGAAGTGCCTCTGGGAGCAGTCAATTTCGGCAGATGCTATTTTTCAGAATGTTTGCATACCAGCAAGCACCTTTCTGCACTACTTTTAGCTTCATTATTTAGTATATAGTCACCTTAGGGGTCTGGACACTTGCAGTTGAACCCATCAGGAGACATGGTGTACAGCACATGTAGAGATGCTTCTTCTCTAAGCAGATGTTGCTATCATGCACTAATGGGAAACTACAGCAGCAACTCTATGGACACTAAGGCTCCGAGGCCTCTAAAAAGACTTAACTAACAAGGTTTTCAGCATTAATCCAGAATTTCCCAAACTTACTGGAACCTAGGACATAGTCCCTCAGCATCTGTATATGCAGGCCCACTGTTCTTTCAACAGGGTATTAGAAAACTCAGCCAGTGTGAAAAGCTGGAGAGCGAAACAGAAGCCACAATAGAAAGCTCTGGTAAATAAAAATGACTTTGTCCAGAAACAGTTACTGCAAATTACTTTCTAACTCATGTTTTAAAAGTACTTAGCCTAGCTGGGCACTATGTATTAAGAAGGTAAGGATATTTAGGTTAAAGTAATCCAAGTGTATTTAATTCTATAAGGAATGGACACAGATTTCTTAAAGGTGGTTAAGTAGGAAACAAGAATAGTTCCCTGAAGACTTACTATGTACTAGGTATATTCCTTTCTAATGTAATCATCCACATGAGTCGTCACGCTACTACTTTGACTGAGGAAACTGGAAATAAAGGCTAAGAGTTATAGCCCCTAAGCGGAAGTGCTGAGAACTAGACTCAAGTGTATGTGACTTTAACGTTACAGGAAAAAGTTGTAGGTTTCAGAGGAATGCAGAACATGACAAACCCATACCTGAAAAATTCCTGTAGAATCTACCCTACAGGTCCATCTAACATAGGTGCTAATCACCTTCGCCTCATCTTTTGAAGGGCAATATGGGCAGATATTTGACAAGTATGGACTCAGAAAACAAAATCCACTTGAAAAATTCCTTTACTTGTAATTCCCTACCCTTAGCTAATCCAAGAGCATTTAAAAAACATTTCAAAAAGTAGCTATCAAAAGTTCCAAACAATTCCTTACTGGGGAAATATATAAACACCCAGAAGTCAAATGTTCTAAACCATTAGTTTATAAAAATACATTTCTCAATATGAAAAACAATCAAGATTCGCTCTCGTCAACATCCTTATCTGGATCTTGTTCAGCAGCTTCTTTTTCCTGTTGCTGTTTTTTCCAAAGTTTGGCCATTGCCAGAAGCTTGAGGTTAGGCTGGTTGGCAGCATCTTCTGGGAAGATGTAATCGTAGTATTCTTCCCAGCCTGCATCAGACTGCAGAATAAAGGTATTAAGATATTAAGAGGTAAATAAATATGGCTGGAACATGCTTTCAGGTACACTGAAGAATTTTTACTGGGAAACCTAGACTTCTACGAATGTTCACTATATAAGGCAACATTAAAACCTGTACAGAAGGAACAAGAAACTGGTCTTAAAAGCCAGCCGGCAGCTGCTCAAATGATGTTACTGAAACAGCATACTGTAGCTCACTGAGAAACAAATCTAAGCACAGTTTCACAGGCATGCCAGACAGCACCTTAACTCCATCATGCAGTCTTAAGCATGATTTTAAAGCCTGATTTCCCTTACTGTTCAGGAGCAGAGGCCATATAGCTGTGTGTTAGTCATAGACTCCTTGCCCTCAGTCTCACCTCCAACTGAACAGATTTCACTTCCAAATACTAAGAGGCTGACCCTGTCCTAGCTTCTACCCCTGGTTGCTAGACTTGTGACAGACATCCTTCCAATAAGCTATCTTCTTCCAGCCTAAGTCCATCAACTCCACCTGTACGAGACACCAACAATTTGGTCATGTCATTTTACGGCATTTTATAAAAGCCTTCAATGATTCCCACCAAACTCCTTGCTCTACCCTACCAAGCCTTTTCAGGATTGGCTCCTCTCTCAAAGGGGAGTCCTCTCCCACCACTGACTTCTTGCTTATTGCTCTACAGACACATTTCGTGTAAATCCTGGACTCGACCATCATTAAACAGCCTTTGCCACATACCCTTTCCCACTTCTCACACCTGCCACACAAGTGGGTCCTATTCGGGCTGTCTGCTTCTGCTTTTAAGAACTCTGAAATGCTACTGAAAGCACGAATTTCAAAATCAGATGCATTTTACTCTGATAGGACGTGAACAGGCTCCAGTGCTCAGCCCTTACCCCATCATCGGCCTGGACCTTTCTTCTCTTCTTGACCTTTTCTGGCATGAGTTTGTCTACTCTTTCCTTGTCTGATACTGTTCCAAATTCATCTTCAAAGCTTCTCCAGGATTCCAACAACATGAGTCTCTCTTCCTTTTCTTCACAGTTTCGCATGGTTTTGTTCGCCTCCTCGTAAATCTGTCTGCATTTAGCGACACTTCCTTCTTTCCCTGAAGACAACTCAAACTGAGCAAAACTGATCCATACCTTAAAACAGAAACATTATGGAATGAAATTACCAGGTGTGGTGGTCTGAATGAAAATGTCCCCCATAGGCTCCAAGTATCTGGACATCTTTGACCACAGTTGGTGTCGCTGTTTTGGGAGATCTTAGAAGGTGTGGCCATGTTGGAGGAAGCATGTCACAAGGGGTGGGCTTAGAGGGTTCTTAAGCCTTGCTGGATCTCAAGATGCTCTCTTGCTTCCTGTGCCTGCTTGAAAATGTAGAGCCTAGCTTCTGCTCCTTCTCCAGCCACCTCTGCTGCCATGCCTCCCTGCCAAGAGAGACTGTAATTCCCCTGGAACCTTAAGCTCAAATAAACTCTTCCTTCTATAAGTTGCTTCTGTCAGTGTTTCTATCACAGCAACAGAAAAGTAACTAATACACCAGGCCACCCACAAACAATAATGTAGTAGTAATTATGAAGCTACTTTATTTACTCCATGACATCCAAAGATGTACCCACTGCTAGCATTCTAGACTGTAGCAGTGGACATACACGTCAAGGCTAGCACTGAAGCAGTCTGCTGCTTCACCCAGCCAGGTGTCTGACCGCTTTAAAACCCTGAAAGAATTGAACTTTTCTTCAATGTTGTGATACTCAAGAGAGCTGCATATAGTATAAACAGTGACCTGCAATAAGCTTAATATTCTTAAGTTCTTTGAGATCATTAGGTTCTCTCCGAAAGTCAGAAAGTTGTTTAAAATAATTTTTCTACAAAAAATAACACTGTAATAATATATTTTAGAATTGCTGTACAAAATAAAATCAACAATCCATCACAAAGTACAGGATACCTTGACATGCTGTGTCCGCTGAAGCAACTGTCGGTAAAGATTCCGTGTCCTCTCAGTTTCTTCCTGTTCAATCTCAAAATCAATATATGATTTCCAAAGCACCTAAGAAAGAAAACAGGTCAAATTTAACAGCAAAGGAACATGCCCCTACACAATGTATAGCTTATCCTAACTACATCTAGGAACACAAGACTTTCACCCAACAGTTAACAGACTGCATGGGAATAATGTAATATTGGCACTTTACAAGCATACCAAAACTTGACTAGAACTCTAGGTAGAAAAAAGGGCCCTGGATTCAGTTTTACATTTTCCTTTGGAGTTTTTCAAATACTCGGCATAAAAAAAATTTGTCAAGCGTTTCCCAATTCTTATGATCCTAGCACATGCTGTTAACCTCTAGGGAGAAAACAGTGGATTAGCCCTCACTTGTATTCTTATCCCCACTGCAAATTCCTTCTTGACTTCAAAAAGCATTCACTGACCAGCTGCCCACTCATCCTAGGTACAGTCACAAGGACAAATACGCTGTGGCTTAGATGCTGGAGCTGGCAACCTGGTAGAAGAACTGAGGCCACAGATGAAACCAGAGATACAGGAACCTCTGCCCTGATGTGGTCAGTGGGGAGGGCCATTACTACAAGACTGACTAGCTGGGCAGGACAGTTCTGTGGCTTCTGTGAGACAAATGAATACAAGCTGTGGTTTACTGCCACCTTGTGGCTTAAATAGTAAGGGCAGGCCAGAACTCCATGGCTATGGCAGTAATATAGGAATATGGTTCAGGCGAAGTAATTATTTCTCAGAATACAGACATGAGTCTCCATTCTTATTTCCTGTGTTCCAGATGGGTGGCCTACTAGCTGTTTCTTTGCCCGGCCTTCTCTTCCAAATCCCCTTTAACCTTCCCTGTCAGCTGTGCTCTGGACTCCCATCTAAAGGGCTGCTTCTGACATCTCCCCAGCCTACCTTCCTAGTCTACAAACAGAAAAACCTAATCAGAGTGGAAAAGATTACAGGTTAGTTGGATCATTTTTATACTTTACAACACAGATTTAGCTGATCAGCTACCAGAATACTTGAGAAGTATCTAAAATACGGGATCCTCACCTCTGGCATGTCTAGGCGTGGCTGGCTGATGGCTAATTCGTAGATTGCCCGAGCTCTCTCAATATCACCAAGTATTGTTTCCAATTCTGCAAACTTAATCCATGAGGTACAATTTTCTGGTCCAAATTCCAAGAACTTTTCATAAAGCTTCCGACATCTGTCAAATTCTCGAAGCTGCAGTTCCAATTCTATGTAACATTTAAATAACTTGTTCTTTGGGCATTTTCCTATGGATGTTCCCTAGAAAATTAAATGGCAAAGAATATGGTTATATCCTGGAGGATTCAACTTGTCCTAGAGGTTATCCTCTGCTGAGGAAAAGCCTTAGAGTCAGCATGACAGATATTCTGTCACTGTGCAACATCACGCTGTCTACACTCACTCTCGACATCTATTCAATTGACAATGGTGGGGCCTGTGGCCACTGGGGCCTGGACAGCCAAAGGCTGAACTGCAGGATTACACAACTACTGGATTTTAAAACTCTATGGCTTGATCCTGTGCAGGGATGCCAGGTTATATGAGACCCTTAAATAAAAAGGGAATCAACCTGACTTACAGGGAGCAAACAGCTCATTTGAAGGACAAACATAATATGTAAACATTGATCCTACTGGGCAATTTTAGTACAAATTGTTAAAAGTTACCCTTAACAGAAGAAAAATTTTATACAAGATCAGATTGGGGACAGAGCTAATAACTGGTAACTATAGACAGTTACCAGTCTGAAATACAGTGTTTATAATCTAAGCATTATCATCTAATGATTTTTTTCAAGTGCTACATTTTTTGTTTGTATTGTTGAGAATTTCAAAAATATACACAATGTAGCTTTACCATAGGCCCCTCTTCTCTAAATGCCCCAAACAATGCACCCCTCCCTTCATGTCCATTTATATATATGTAAAATCCAAGTCCAATTAGTGCTGCCTGCATGAGCATGGACAATCTACCAGCCCCCGACTCCCTTCAGCTGCCAACAGCTCCTCAGCTAGAGGAAGAACATCATGAGCCCCTCCCCAGACCATGCTGGATGGCTTGATCCTATGCAGGGCTCCTGCAGGAACTCATGCTGCTGTGTGTTTGTGAGTGCAGCAGCCATGTCCTGTCCAGAAGACAGCACTTCACAGCACTGCTACCCATCACCCAGCTGTGACATTCTTTTAGTTTCTTCTTCTATGATGCTCTCTTGAGTCTTGAGGAATGGGGTGAGGGGAGGTTGATACACTGTACTCGACTGTCACTTATTGTCACTTATTCTCGAAGTACTGTATGTGTTTTCTAAGTGTTCCAGGTTATAAAGATACATTTCTGCTACCTTGTTTGCTTTTAAACAAGGTATTGCTATATAGCCCAAGCAAAGCTGGCCTTGTAACTAGCCCCACTTCATTGATTTTTGGGTTTTTTTAAAAGTAGGAATCGGACAATCTATAAACATAAAGATTTCAAATTTTAATTTCCTTTCCATAAAACTTAATGAAGCATGTTGATTGTTACTTACCAAAGCTCTTCTGGCAAATGGTAAATTTTTCTGCCTTATTTCAAATTTCGCATAATATAACCACATTTTGGCAAATGTGAACTATAAAACAAAAGCACAAAAATATCTAGCTTCAGAGACTCATATACATAAGTTTGTTAAACATTTTAAATAAACATTTAAAATATAAAAAAATAAATAAGCCAACCAAAGGCCAATTTGGTTGCCCTAAAATTTTAGTGACAGGGACTATTTTCCTTGTTCATATACTCATATTTCTCAACAGCTGAAAGTATACCATGGGGCTGGGTATGGTGGTGCACACTTTTAATCCCAGCACTTGGGAGGCAGAGGCAGGCAGATCCATGAGTTGGAGGCCAGCCTTGTCTATATAGCAAGTTCTAGGCCAGCCAGGCCTAAATAGTAAGACCCTGTCTCAAAAAACTAAAAACCGGAACAACAACAAATCCATTTCTGTGTCTCCTACCCATGTGCCTATCCTCTTTCTTCTACTCTGTCTATTTGAATTACTGACATTCTCCTGAATTTCCACACTATTAGCCGTTTTGTCATTCAACACACTCTGCTCTCTACAAAGAGAGAGTAAGATATTTCCAGAGGCAAAAAGACTGTATCTCTTATTTATGACTGTATGGTACCTAGCATACTCCATGGATACATTATTTTACAAATGACCAAGTAGGATTTTGATCTAGTGGGGACTGAACACTTCAAAGTAAGTGTACCTTTTTGTGAGGAATTAGTTCCAAACATGCTTGATATACCTGTCTTGTCCTCTCTGGATCCTGCATTAAGGTAAAAAAAAAAAAATTAATTGTTAATACTCATTTTACTAGTTAAAAATTTTATGACTACTAGTAAAAATAGGCACCCCCATTTCTCAAGTTGTTTTTTTTTTTTTTGGTCTTTTTGAGACAGGGTCTCCCTGTAGCCCCAGCTGTCCTGGAACTCACTATGTAGACCAGGCTGGCCTTGGACTCACAGAGATCTGCCTGCCTCTGCCTCCCAAATGCTGGGATTAAAGGAGTGCACCACCGTGCCCAGCTCAAGTTGCTATTTTTAAATGCGGATTTCACTTATGATCAAAAATAGAAACTACCTTGGTCATCAAACTCTGAGTACTTCATTGCAGAAAGGCCTTCTGCCTGATAGCAGAAAGAGACAAAGACATTTTATAGTCTCAGATCAACAACAGAATGCTAATCTTTACCTGTTAACATACACGTGACCTGTTTTGCTAAGCCACTTGATTTTCATTAAAAGCAAAACTGTAAAATTTGTGACCTCTATTTGTGAAAAAATACATTAACTATTTAGGAAATTATACATAATTCAACTGTTTCAACTGGTTCATTGTGGGTTTTTTTTTTCCCTTTCTGACTGTTCAAAATTTAAAGTAGCAAAAGACAACGAACACCTTGCCTGTGCCTACAACAGACATACACTGTAGATAGAATCTACGAAACATGGGTGAACAGAATCCTAAAAGAATTTAAAACTAAATTTCTTTATTCCAAAGGTTATAGTTATCAGTTAGCATCATAACAGACACAGCTGTGAGTACTGGAGACAGAAAACCATGATGCTGACCCATGATTCAACTCTTTACCTTTGCCTCCAACTCTTCGTAGAGTGCGTAGTTGATCCAGAGATAAATGTAGCGCTTCCAGTGCCTCTTCTCCTGAATGGGTGGAACATTGGCAATGGCCCTCTCATAGACCTCCCGCACAGTTTCAGCTTCAGCATCACTTTCCACCAAGCGTAAGTAATCAAACCATGCATCATAGTTGTGTGGATTAGCCTAGAAAAAAAGTCTCATCAGCAAAAAAGGAACTGAGAGCTACACTTATGAGGCTGTCTGAACTTAAGGAGACACCAGACTATATTTTTGCAATTCCTTCCCTTAGATTTTATCATCATCTCATTTTAAAAACATCATCCCTGAGACTGTATAAAGGCAACACAAAAGGTCATCGGCTAGACACTCACAGCAAAGACCCTTTACAGCCATCACGTAACATAATTACTCAATAAGTTCTTTTTGTTTTTCAGACAGGGTCTCATTGTATATAGCCCAGGCTGACCTTGAATTCACAGCGGTTCTCATCCTCCCCAGTCCTATGATTAGAAGTCTGAGTCACTAGACTCAGCTTCTGATTCTTATACATGCACTTTTCATACATGAGTATATATCATTACGTTGACAATAAAATCACAATGGGTTATATCACACTCATAATTGGGAAGCCGGCCTTCTCAATGAACACATCTTGAATTTATTTTGAACACATCTTGCTGACCTACCACCTCATTTAACACCGGACTTAGTTGTTATCTTCATTTGACTAAGCAAAAGATACACAGCACAGTGAAAGAAAATGCTACTATCTTAAACAGAAATCAAAACAGTATATTACAGACAAAGAGCCAAGAACAGAACCATGTCTATGGTGTATCTTCTATTTAGACACCAAAGCTGAAGGACAATGGCACAGGAAGCACATTTTTGGACCAATCTTTGGCCCTTGCATCTTCTTCCAAAATGAGCTCAAAGAGATGTCACCTTTCTTTTGGGGCAGGGTTTTGCTATATAGTCTAGGCTGGCCTTGAATTAACATTTTTCTTGCCTCTACCTCCCAAGTTCTGGGATTACGGTATGAATGGACCATCCATCAGGCCCAAGTTCACATTTCTTTTGTTTAAGTTCCAATTACAAACTCAACAATCAGTAAAATGACTTTCCACATGTGAGTGGCAGAGCAAATTCACATATGGCTAGCTTCTCTTCTATAAGCTACATTTATTCCAAATTATCTGAAGTAGCCACCAGTTTCTCAGAATCATCAAGGGAGTAATCACTGATGGCTCCCACTTACTCACTCCACCCCAGCTAGCTCTGCCACCAGCATATCTCATCTCTGCAGCTGACCATACCACCAACACTCACCTTCACTTCTTCTTCATACTGGAATCTCCGTTTGCTTACGATGATATCTTCAATACCCCGCCTGTCACCAAACTTCTTCTCAAAGATGGTATAGTTTTTAAAGAGTTCTTGGGCCTCTTGTTTTGAAATTCTATCCAGGGCATACTTGTAGATGACACGTACTCTTTCAAACTAAAAGCAGGCAATATGATTATCTTCTACTACATAAACTCGTCTGAGTCACATCTGGGAGAATAACTGCAAACTATTTTCTTTTTTAAAATATGCAACTGTATCAATAGAAATACCAGGTTTAATAGGCACCAAAGCCAAGAAAACCAATGATGCCAGATAGAGAATTTCTACTGCACTGTTCTCTGAACACACCAGCAGGAGGGAGCTGCTGAGTGCAGATACCATGCAGGGCATTGCAACCATTATTTACACATTAAATAGGCTTTAAAATGCTCAAAATAAGATTTCTCTTCTGTTTCATGTTGACGGTGTTTCTGTACCAGCAAGTGATAATATTCTTCTTTGAGTTTCGCACTTAAGATCACAAACCTGAGCTTCTGCTTTCTCCCCATCCAAGCTGGGTCCTTCTCAGTCCAGCAGGCAGTATATTTAGTGGCACACCTGTTCATACCCAAAGCCCCATGAGTGTGTTTTGGTTCTTCTTCTGTTCTCCTCTCCCACACTCACTCCTTCAGCAAGCCCTGCTATGTCTCTCAGTACTACAGCTCTTTTCCCCTCCTCTGCCCTGCAGCTGGCCTATCTCCATTTCCAACCTGGAACACTATGAGTCTCCTCACTGGATTTCCTGGTTCTATGCCCTGCACCTTGCTTGCTACTGATGCAAAACAAGCCCAAAGCTTCACCCATGCTAGGTGACTGCTCTTCCACATAGCTTCATCCCCAGCCCTTTGCTGGTTCCACTTGTTACTCCCCGTCAGCATACATAGCTTCATGAATTAGCTGGAGGCTCAGTAAAATATCATATCCAGTCACTTTCCCATTTAAAACCTTCCAATCCTTCCTGCTTAAGCATGGGCATGAACTCTCAAACTCTATTATATCAGCTACTATATTATTTTGTATACTCAGGAAGAAAAGAACTAGCTAATAATTTTGTCCTGTGTTTGAGGGCTTTGGCTCTTTGCCTCCCAGGTTTACTATGTGTAAAATCCTTAAGCTTTATTACCAGGATACCAAATGACACCCATCAGTTTAGACTTATTTTTTTGAGATAGGGTCAAATGTACCCAAGGCTGATCTCAAACTTGTAATCTTCCTACCTCAGCCTTGGAGTCAATCTTTAATCATCAAAATGCTGGGACTGCAGGCATGCACCACTATTTAGTTCTAGGTATGCATACTGGAAAAGGCTCAATTGTCAAACAAAGCAGAATGAAATTAAGACAGTTATAATCATAAAAACAAAAACAAAACAAAAAAAACCAAAGGCAGTTATAATCTATGATTGCTCAACTCCAATCTATAGCTCAGCAATACATATGTGCTGTTTTCTGTATGAACTTATGCTTCCTATCTTGAAAACGTTTTCTCTCTGGATAGGTAAGAAGAAATGGAAATGAAGTCATGGTGTAGAAGATGCCATCTTTTCTGTGTTGTTTAGCAATACAGCTGGAAAGGTATGCTTACTTCTTTCTGATTTTCTTCAAATTTAGCAAAGGCCACATAAAGGTGTTCATCCATATGCTCATCTCCAAAGAATTCCACGGCTCTCTCGTACACTTTCCGTGCATGTGCAAAATATGCATGCTTCTCCTCAAAGCGAGCGTACTTGATCCAGTTCTTGACATCGGGGTGCACGATCACAAGTGCAGTGGAGTGAAGGAAACAAGCAGGCAAGATAACATGGCTTAGACTAATGAATAGAGGCTGAGCTGAGATCAGTGGCAGAGCTTAGGCATAGCATGTGCAAAGACTCAGTCCCCAACACCTGCCCCCAAACAAAAAAACCCCAAAACCACACCAACCCCCTAAATTCCAACAATTCAAAATATAACTGGAGGGGTGACAGAACACACACAAAGGTGTCTAACTACTGACCCCCAGCCTCTGTGAGGGCAAGGGCTCATCTTATTCATTCTGATTTGCCATTAGTGCTGATTCAAGTAACACACCTCAAAGAAGAACTCAAGCAACATGCATCACCTAGGCCCCAAGAGAAAGTTCTGAATTGCCATTTTATTTAACAGGACTTATCTACCCTCCTTGAAAAACCAGTAATTCCTAAACTAGTAATATACTCAAGTATGGCAAAGTTGCAAAGAGCATCAGTTCTTAAGTTGATCCACTTATCAAACAGACCTCCATCCACCCCTTCCTAAGACTCAGGTGAGGCTTCCTAATCATTCCTGCCTCAGTTTCCTCACCTGTAGAATGAAGCAGTTCCTGCACTGCAGGGTTATGAGGATTAACAGGTTTACTAAGTGTTTAGAATGGCTGCTACAAGCCAAGTGCTATATAAGCTTGTTAAACTACTGTTTAAAGAGTAAAGACAACTTAAGATCTTAATATGGCATAAACGAGGTTCACATTAGTTGTAGTAGTTATGTTGTATAAAGCCAAGGAAAACAATGGGCTACTGATCATTCCTAGGAGGAATGTGTATATACATATATCTCACATAGACGAGTTTTAAATCCTAAACACAACTCATCCTAGCAGTCTTTTTACCTTTCGTGTGTGTGTGTGTATGTGCATATAACACATGGACACACCAGTATAGGAGGCTAGAAGCTGATGCCAGGTATCTTTTCCAATCATTTTCCACCTTATTTTTTGAAACAGGGTCTCTCACTGAACCTGGAGCTTACTATTCAGCTGGACTGACTGGTCAGAAAGAAGTCCGAGGGATCTTCCTGTCTCTCCATCCTGTGTTGAGATTATACAAATATACCATTGCATCCAGTTTTTTACATGGGTGCTAGGGAGCCAAACACAGATCTTCATGCTTGTATGGCAAGCACTGTATCAACTAAGCCATCTCCCTATATAAGAGAAGACATGATCCAAAGCATCAAGGATCTGGCCCCAGGCTGTCCCACTAGACATGTCAGAATGTGATCAGACCCCATTCCACCCACCTGATGGTGGGGTGGGGAGGCTCCCTGAAGGCACAGCACTAGACCTCCTGCCTTTACCCTCTTGTCATCACTGTATAAGGCTGAAATGGCCCTTGGCTGGAAACCATATGACAGACAACTCAAAATTTTTCAGTGCTCTGTACATGTCTACAAATCCCAGCTGAAGTGCAGCAATTATTACTTTGGGGATTCCAAATAAATTTTTAACAAGTGGTACCTCTGTGATGAGAAACACAGTGCTTTAGCTGCTAACAGTGCTTTTGCAAATGTCATCTAGTCTTTCCCATCAGCCCAACATGGTTGATTGTTTTGTTTTTTATAGTGCTGAGGACTGAACTCAGGGCCTCCTACCTGCTGGGCAAGTGCTTGTTCGCTGAGCTGCGCCATGGGTATTTTTATTCTTGTTTCATAGAAAAGGACACCAAGGCTCAAAGGGCTAAATGACTCACAACAAGAAAGCAGTCATCATCTGGATGAACTCCACTAAGCAAGCAGTGCTAATGATCACCCACAGTTGGGACTTCCCGAATCCTTTCCACGAGGACTCAGAGTGCTAGTGCAAAAATAAAATAAACCCCAAACTTCATGGAAAAGTCTCCAACAATTACCCAGACCACAATTCTTTTTTCTTTTTAAGACAGGGTCTCACCATTTATCCCTGGCTGGCCTGGAACTCACAGAAATCTGCCTGCCTCTGCCTCCTGAGTGCTAGGATTAAAGGTGTACACCACCATGCTTGGCAGACAACAAATTTTTATTTTACCAATCTCTGTCCCTACTGCATAAATGTGATGCTGATGAAACTTGCCTTCCTGACTTCAAACGTCTGATTAATAGCTACCTGCCCTGATCAGGCCATGTCTATGGGAGAAAGACACCCAGAAAAATGTGTCATTCAAAGGATATACTGTTCATAAATGGTTCGGGCCCGCTCCACCTCTTTGTATCTCAGCTCGAAGTTGATGTAGGAATGCCAGGCCTGTTCTTCAGGCTGCCATTCCATCCAGCGCTCAAACACCTGCCGGGCACCAGGAATGTTCCCTAACATCTCCTCCATGTACGTGTACTTGTACCTATTAAAAGAGTCATCCAAAAATATCTGCTGTGCTCAAAATGACAGGGGAAAAAAATGATCTTTGACATTTTCAATTCCTTGTTAAAGGGGAAGAAGATTTTAAGTTTTATCTTTCCAAAATGTTAAATCAAATGTTTTCTTATTAAAATGTAAACGTGAAAAAGAATGAACCATGGGGGGAGGGCTGCCTTGTTCACTACAAAATTTCTTATAAAAATACAAGATTGCACTAAAAATTTCAGTTTTGATTACATAGCTATGGAACGGGATTATGTGACATTAAAAAAATAGTACAAAGAAAAGTAGAATGTACAATTCAGAACATAAAATTATTACAACTATGCAAATACATAAATGTGGGACTTTTCTAATTTATAAAAGGCTGTTTTGTTAAGCAGAAACTTACCAGAATTGGTTGACTCGCGGCAGAGTTGTTATAGCACGATCCCAGATGTTTCGGGCATGGTTGACCTGGCGGTTCTTCATTTCCATTTCTGCATATTTCAGCCAGAGTGTAATATTGCGGTAGTCTACATCTAAAGCACGCTCGTATATGGATCGGGCCCTTAAGAAGCAAGATGCAAGATGCGGAGAGCATCAGAGGTAGTAAGCATAAGGCATGTATATAGTAGTCACTTCCAACTACAAGGCCCTCCTATTTTACTGGGGGTCTATATTGAGCCAGGTTCTGGCCATAAAAAGAAGAGGGGGATGGAGAGACAGCTCAGCAGTTAAGAGCACTGGGTGCTCTTGCAGAGGACCTGAGTTTGGTTCCCAGCACCCACATTGCTGTTAACAACAGTCTGTTAACGCCAGTTCCAGAAGATCTGACGCCCTCTTCTGACTTCTGAAGGTACTACACGATATGGGTGCACTTACATACATGCAGGTAATACACTCATACACATAAAAATAAACTATTTCAAAAAAAGAAGATATGACAACCTTCAGTTACTGTACAAAGTCTTAATCATAGACAAGCATGCAGTTTTTTTGTAGTGTGATAAACATTATATTCAAGATCTGAAGCAGAGAGCAAGGGCAATGATTGGTGAAACCGGCTAAGTAGTAGGAACTACAGAACTGAGAATGTAGAGACAGTTCCAGTATGCTGAGAGGCCAAGGGTGGTGGAGAAGGGGCTCTGTTGGAGAAACAAGTCAAATGTCAAGGGGGGAGCAATGATGTGCCAGGGGACTGGAAAGAACAGACACAGTGGGACAGGAATAAGAGGCGCAGTGCAGAAAGCCTGGACAACAACAAGGCCAAGTCCGTTTGTATCTTACTGGCCACTGATTTTTAGTAGAGCACTATCATTTTGCAATATTAACACACAGAAAACAGAGAGAAAAGCATTTCTGTAGCTACAAGAAAACTGGTGGCAAGAGCCACTTATAGAACCTTGTTGTGCAATACTCCCACGATTACGATTCCAGCATCCCTGAGATCCCTCAAAGGAACTCAGGGTTCCAGAGAACAAAAGCAGATTACTACCCAAGGTACACACCTGTGCCTTAACCTTTTCTCTCCTTTTGTGTATGCTAATTTATGACATCACTATATACAAAAATTGCACTCTTGGCAATTTTACCTTTGAATTTCCTTTAGACTTTCTTCCCATTGTGCATATTTTATCCAGTTACTAATCACAGTCCTATTTTTTCTTATGTTATCTTCAAAAGTCTGAAAGAAGGCAAAAAAGGGGAAAAATAACTAAAAATGACTTTCTTTTGCCTTTTACTAAAAAGGTTCTTCATTGGATCTTATTTAAGAGAAATTCCATGCTAGACTGCTTGAGGAACAAACAAGAAGCCCACTACGGAAGGTTCCAGCTACAGGTGTTTCTCTAAAGCCCTGATAGTGAAGAACTCTTGGTGTTTTCTGCTGTTGCCCATGACTACTGGTGTGTTAATAGATGCTATTCTTGTTTCTAATAAGAAAACAGTTTTTAGGGGCTGGAGAGATGGCTCAGCGGTTAAGAACACTGGTTGTTCTTGCAGAAGACCAGGGTTCGAATCCCAGCACCCACACGGTAGCTAACAACTGTCCATAACTCCAGTTCCAGGGCACTGCACGACACAAATGCACTGACCTGCACACAGGCAATACACACATACACATAAAATAAAAATAAAAAAAATATTAAAAAAAAGTTTTTTGAATATTACATCTAAGCACTCTCAGTAATACTCAGAATTTCATACTTAACTCACACAAGACTACTAGAATGAAATAGCCTTATACACTAGAGTAAGGCCAAATCAGACATGAAAACTCTCTCATAGTTCTCTCCCATGTCCTGACTCCTACTGAGGATGGTGATGCAGACAGATATGCGTGGTTTGGTCTTAACAAGGGTACCGCTCTAGAATTTCTTAATAGACTGAAATACCACATACTGACCTTCCTTTTTCTTAGTTTGTAATCATTTAACTCTTCTTCATCTGTGATCTTCTGCTGAGGTGGAGGCGGGAGAAGCTCAAGCTCTCTCTCTTTCGCTTCTCTTAAGAGTTGTTCGGCAGTTATCTGCACTTCAGCTGGGGCTTTGTTTTTCACCTTTAAGAAAAAAGACATTGCGATTTTGAGGAGTGTTCTCCACATAAGATTTAAAAACTCACATACATTTGTTAGGATGTGACCTTCATTAAGTATGATGACAGGATGCCTACTTTGTATGATCTATTCAATTCTCCAGGAGATGGAACTGGGAAAAAAACAAACAAAAAAACTCTGCATTTTCCATCTAATCCATGACATCTATCATAAGCCCATGGTACAAGTTTCAAGAGACAGAAGTGACAAAAATAACAGCAAGTTTTCCCTTTGAGAAGAACAGTATTCTATATTTTCTATGTTTATTATTATAAGCAGCACTTCATGGCTAGATTAAAACTTGTTTACTTATTTTCTACTCCTAGTGGATGATCTGTTTTTTCTGTGACATTTTAAATCAACTTAAACTTATTTAGTAAGGCTCTATAGTTAGACTTTAACTGTCCTGGATCATAGATCTGTGTTATCCAACACAGTAGCTACAAATCGAATGTGCTGATTCCAAATTGGGACAGGTCATAAGTGCAAAACAAAACAAACTCTGGTTTTTACAATTCAGTATGAAAAACCAGGCGTGGTGACACATGCCTTTGATTCCAGCACTGGGGAGGCAGAGGCAGGCGGATCTCTGTGAGTTCAAGGCCAGTCAGGTCTACATAGCAATTTCCAGGCCCACTGGGGATATAGGGAGACCCTGACTCAAAAAAACCGAAAAAACAAAAACAAAAACAAAACAAAGGAAGATTAAGTATGAAGAAAAGAATAACTTACCACATTAGACATTTTTATGATTACACATAGAAATAAATATTTGGATTCAAATTAGAATCACCTGTTTCTTGTTTTGTTGAGAAAGGTATAAACCATGTAAGCGGGAATCCTATTATAAATACTTATGGAACTGAATTATAAAAAAAGCTACTGCATGTATGGAGTGATGATGGGAACTTGTATTAATAAACGTTTAGTAATGTAAATTCAGTATCTAGCTTGTATTAATGAACATTTAGTAATGTAAATTCAGTATCTTTGGAAGTTGTAAAGTGGATATCTAAAGATCAAGCCCTGGCTAGATGGAGGTCAAAAACTGAAATCCTAAACTTCAGCAGAGGAGACAGAAGGATGAGTTCCAGGCCAGAGTAGGCTACATAATAAGACCTCATCTAAAAGCAAAATATTAAGCAGGAGAATCGGACCACAGAAAGGTTATCTTATGTAAAGGCTGAGGATAATATCTGCCATTATTAGGCATTTGGTAAAGTATCAGCCATCGTTGGAAATATAATAAATCTATTGTTTAACTTAAGTCATACCACTGCACCAAGCCTGTCACCTCCCATCTCATCCACTATCAGCAGGGCTAACTCACTCATCTTTCACGTCTCAGCGTAAATGTCATTTCCTCCACAAAGTTTACTGGGAAGCACACCCACCTCCCCCTGGTTATAGCCCACAGCATAGTGTACAGTGCCTCGGAACGTCTAGCAAGGATGCCATTTCACACTCCTGTTTTATTCCACTTTTGCCTGAGTTAAAGCGTGGGTCCCCAGCGCAGAGCAAGGACGCCACGCGCTGTAAAAACGCCGCCCTAGAACTAAAGCTGGGTTGCCGCGAGCTGCGCTCCGATAACAAGCCCCGGATCCCGGGCCCCGCAACCCCGGCCCCGCGACACCCCAGCCCCCATCTCAGAGCCCGTCGTCTACCTTGGCCACTTTGGGAATCCGCTGCTTCCCGGCCGCTGTGGAAGCCGCCATGTCTTCAGCCGCGAAGCGCCGGCACCCTTCGCCCGAACCTGGACACGGACCCTAGAGATCCGCTGCTACAGCTAGCGCGCAGCACCAAGCAAGCCTAAAACAAACTAAGTCCCGGAACCGGAAGCGGAACTCGCCGAGGCGACCGTTGACCTCCGCTCGCGCTCTAACGGACGCCCTCTCCGTTTCCGTGGCAACCGTGTGAGCGTCCTCTGTGGAGCGGTGTGGGGAGCGCGGCGTGCTAAAGCTGCGGAGAGGTAGGTGGCGCCGGTACGCGGCTGGGCTTCAGGGGTGCCGCTGGGTCCGACCCCGGCGTCGGTGCGGTGTGGGTGTAGCATCTCGGAGGGGCGTAGCGGCCCAGCTCGGATCAGGCAGCTCGCGCGGGAGGGAAGCGTAGCTGAAGGAGGAAGCTACAGTCCGGCCAGCCGCCAGGCACCGCGATACATCCTGGGCTTTGTAGTCTGCGCGCTCTACACGCCCTTGATTCTGGCTCCCCCAACTGGTTAGGCCCAGATAATGATCTCCGAAGCTTGGAATTTTAAATAAAGAGGCATTTTGAAACCAGATGTTAAGGAAAAGTAAAAAGAATTCAGAGTAACAAAACACCTAACCTGTGGCCAGAAACTAGTGTGTTAAATTTTTAGTCCATGAATTGCTTTCATTACTTGAATTATATTATTTTCAATATCCTCGGCTATAAATTAATAAAAACATTTGTTTCCTTAGGCTTAGAGAGAAAAATCTATGTGAAAAACTCATCTGAGTTTAGCAACCATAATATCTGACCTATCTTCAAAAGCAGAGTAATTGGCTGGGCATAGTGGTGCGGGTCCTTATTCCCAGCCTTTAATCCCAGCACTCAAGAGGCAGAGGCAGGCAGGTCTCTGGGAGTTTGACACCTGCCTGGTCTAAATTGAGATTTCCGGTAGACAGGGATACATAATGAAAGTGGGTTATTAAAAAAAAAAAAAAAAAAAAAAAAAAACCAAACAAATATTTGAATAAATGGCTAAGAGAATTTTTTAATTAAAACTTTTAGAGAAGTTTGGAGTTGACAGCAAAATTGAGTTGAAGGTGAGATTTCCCATCTCCTTCCTCCCCCACCCCCAAAAGCCTCTCCGTTCTTATTATACCCTACTAGGATGGTACATTTGTTAGTATCTGTGAGTTTGTGTTGACACATTATCAATGAAAGTCCACAGTTTGGCCGGGCATATCTATGCTTGCCTTTAATCTGAGCACTCAGGAGGCAGAGGCAGGTGGATCTTTATGAATTTGAGGCCAGCCTGGACTACATAGTGAGTTCCAGGCCAGCTGGACTAAAAGAAAGTCCACCACTTATGTTACAGTTTACCCTTGTACAGTCTATGGGCTTGGACAAATGCATAATGGTGCGTATCCATGGTTTCTGTAATATACAGAATAGTGTCATGCCTTAAAAGTTTTCTAGGCACCACATGTTCGTCTTTCCCTCACTCAGCCACCTGCCTGTCAATAATTTTGGTTTGTTTCTGGATTTGGTTGAGACAAGATCTCATGAAGTAACCCTGGTTAGCCTGGAACTCACCTTGTAAACCAGGCTGGCCTCCAATTCATAGAGATCCATTTGCCTCTGCTTCCTGAGTACTGGGATTAAAAGTATGCACCACCTCACCTGGCCTACTGTCTCCGTAGTGTTGCCCTTGCTATAATTTCATCATGTGATTGGAGTCATATAACATCTACGTAGTCTTTCCATATTGGCTTTCATTTATTTATTTATTTACTATTAGCCTTTTTAAGACAGGGTCTCCCTATAGCCCAAGCTGGCCTGGAACCCCCTATGTAGACCAAGCTGGCCTTGAACTCACAGAGATCTGCCTGCCTCTGCCTCCCATGTGCTGGGACTAAAGGTCTGCACCACCACACCCAGCTTTCCTTCTTCCATCTTTTTAAAACAGCTTAATAGATCATTATTTAAGGAGATTTCCACAGTTGCAAGATTCTTGGTATGCCAAAGAAATATGTATCCAGTAATATCACATCCACCTACTTCTTTCAAAATTTTGGTACAGATTTACCAAACTGCAAATGATTATAATCAGAATAAAAATATTTGCCATAGCTCTGTATCATCCACATTATCCAAATATTTTAAATTCTCATTTCCTAAACAAATAAATTGAGATGTTTTATTGGTGTAATAAAGTGAAGCCACCTAACAAATAGCTGTTAATGTAAAAGGATGTTTCCCCAGTTGATTTCCCTTTAATAAATGAATGGTAAGTCATATGTACCCTTCATTCAAATATACAAAAACTTTAGATAACTTCTGATCATCAGTCGTCCACGTCACATTTTTATTGTCTAGTTCTGATAATGACTTGTAGAATAAGGACATATTCTGGACAAATGACTTTTACCCAACCTTGCAACCAAATAGTTCATCTAACCTTGTTTATAATATAGACAAACTCACTGAGCCTTGTGCTCATCTTGTGATTTAAATTTTCCCTACCATATTGTAGTGCCCCTCACTGCAGTTAGTACACTAGAAGTTTAGAACAACAAAAACTTTCTCGGAGATGCTTAGATTTGCCTGTTTATTTGTTTTTAATACTCCCCTTACAGCAGCCATTGGACAATCAACTCTCTCTTTAATAGTTTTAGAATAGTTATTTCTTCCCAATACATATAAACAATTTTTAAATTATTTCTTAAATTTATTTTTATTTTTTACCTCCCCCCCCTTAAATTTGTTTTTATTTTATATGTATGAGTGTTATACTTGCATGTATGTAAGTGCACCGGTGTCATGCAATGCCCATAGAGGACAGAAGAAGGCTTTGAATCCCCTGGAACTGGAGTCATAGACAGTGTTTGCCACCATGTGGGTGCTGGGATTCGAACCTGGGTCCTCTGCAGGAGCAGCCAGTGCTCTTAACTGCTGAGCCATCTCTCTAGCCCCTAAACAATTTTTAACCAAAAATTAACAAAGAATTAATTATTCTTATTCAACAGGGCAGAACCAGAGTAATCCAACTTACTGAACAAGATCCTGATATTATTTATCCTTCCATAGCTCAAGATAATTTCACCTTTCATTTGCAGTCCTTAGAACAATGGCAGATAACTTTTGCTGGCTTTGGGGAGCAAGCTTCTTTTCACTTCCCTCCTATAAAGACTACTTTCTATGCAAGTCATTTTCCCCATAAATACACTTCTCATTCTACTGCACTATTTATCAGATAGAGCCAACAGATCAGGTACAGGAATCATTAAGTGACGGGATGATGCTAGAATATAATACTCTCTTATAACCCCAGGAGCAACAACCACCTGGCAGGCAGAACTTTTAGCTGTTCTTTCTACTTTCAACCAGTTCCCTAATTAGCCCTTCAGTTTACTAACCTACTAACCTACTCTTACTATATGGCTCAAGCCATCCCACAATTGTTTCCAGCCACTGTGGTGCATTCCTCAGACTTCTTTTTGTTATCAGTATTTACCTCTCTCCAAAGCTTCCTTCATAGAGGAACTCATCCTGTTTTTATTTCAAATTGTTTGATGCCATACAGAATTACCTGACCTCCTAATAGAAGGAAATTGTCATGCTGACTATCTAGTCATGTCTTTTTACTTATCACAGATATAAGCTCAACAAATTATCTGATCCTGTTCTGACTGCCAGTTATCAGGCCCAACCACCTAGAGAGGAATCAACCCCTAGGTCTTCATCCTAATGAACTTTGGCAAATGGGAGCCAAATTCATTCATTCATTTACTCACATAAATTCCTTTGTTCATTTTAAATTGTTGATGTATCTGTTGATACTTTTTCAGGCTTCAGTTTTACTACTGCTCAAACACATGAATATGCTTGAGTTGCTTGAAGACCCTTATTAGCTGCTTTCTCTCTAATGGGGGTCTTAAAATAAACCAAAACAGATAATGGTCTTGTTTATATATATAAAACTTTTATCTCTTTTGGCCAACTTGAGGAAATTCATGTCTCTCATGGCAGTCCTTACATAACCTCCAAAGACATGCCACATTTAAACTAACTCATTGATTATTCAAAAAGCAAATACCCAAACAAAGAAAGGAGACTAGAGGCTTAACTGTGCAGGAACAACTTGCTAAAGCAAATATACTTTAAATCTTTTTAAAAGCAACTTATATTTTAAAACTTTAAATATTGTTCCTCTCAGTCTTTCACCATAACTCCTGAGGAAAAAACATCTTAAAACCCTCAAGTTTGGGAGTATTCACTGAGGGGTAGAGCCCCAACCAGGGTCCTCCTGCCCTAGAGGATGCTCGCTCTTCTGTGCCCCACAGTGCTGGTGCTGGTGGTTGGGGCGCCATGGATGCTGCCCAAAGCTGCAGGTGGAGAAACTGAAGCTTCCTAAGCATGTAGAGGTCCTCATCATAAATGACAGCTTTACCCTAAAGAAGAAGTGGAACAAAGATACTGTCAGCACTGTCACTTTCTCAACAGAGTATCAAATGTCAGAGGTAGAGAACTGGTTGAAACTGCCCAGGTGTCAACACATTACAGGCACCAAATGTGACTTTTCTTCAGCCAACCTAGATGTCTATGAAGAAGTTAAGTTGCCTCAAAGAGCAGAACAAGGAGACAGCACTTCTTCATACATTTACGCCATTTAAAATAGCTCACATTGGTCCCCCAGAAGTGCATTTAGAAGGTGAAGATAAGGCAATACTAATGTCTTATCCTTGAATAGGTGGTAGCGTGTGGGCTCTGGATGATTTTAGCTTCAGGTACAACATACTAATCTGGAAAAACGCTTCAGGTGTAGAAAAAAAGGATTGAAACAAGTAATCATACAGATAAGATTTTTTTTTTATTGAGATGGGGTCTCCCTGTAGCCCCAGCTGACCTGGAACTCACTATGTAGACCAGGCTGGCCTTGAACTCACAGAGATCCATTTGTCTCTGCCTCTTGAGTGCTGGGACTAAAGGCATATTTTATGCATATGAATGTATTGCCTTCATGTAGGTAGGTGCACAAGTATTGTAAAGTGCTCACAGAGGTCAGAAGAGGGTTGGATCCCCTGGAACTGAGTTACAGTTTTTAACCTGGCATGTGGATGCTGGGAACTGAACCTGGCTCCTCTGCAAGAGCAACCAGTGCTCTTAACTGCTGAGCCATCTCTCCAGCCCCTAGCATAGCTTTTTAAAAAATTATTATTTTTATTTTATGTGTATGAACATATTGCCTGCATGTATGTAAGTGCACCCATGTCTTGCAGTGCC